ATCATAAATTTTATTTTAAACAATGTTATTTGTTTTGTTGTTGGTGGTGATCTATTTTAAAAATGCATTATTTATAATTAAAATGTAAATAGTTTGTGGATCATGTCGTCAGCTGATGCATTGATGGGTATTGCAACATTGTCATAATTTTAGTACACTAAGAAATTTCTAGAAAATGGCTTTTTGCCCAGATGTGTCTTCAAGAAAAATCTATCCAATTCCAGACTCCAGTGGTCGAAAATGACAAGAAGAGATTTCACATATATATAGGCTACACCAAAACAAAGAGTAATGTTGACATTTATGGCAAGAAGATCAAATGTCCAAAAAAAAAACATTTTCAATGAAAAACCAGTAAAGAAAGTCCTAAAGTCGGGCGGGGCCGATTTTATGATATCCTACACCACTTTGCTGATTTAGTTGAGCTCCACTTAATAATTAAAATTTTTTATGGGAGAATTCAATCATACACGCTATGATTATAATTATAATTTAAAATTCAAAGGACTACATATGCCGAAGCATTTGTATCTTTTAAATTCGGACTTGTATTGCCCATTTGGTGCACAATTAATTTGAAATCGGATAAAAATATATATGGGAACTATATCCCAATCCGATCTCGATAAAATTTGGCAAAGATGTTTCTGAGCTGTATTTGATATATTTCCCTGAATATCGTTGTTACGGAGTGCATATTACGGCTGTGGGTAACAAATTCAATAAATCGGATGAACAATATATATGGGAGCTATAACTATATCTGAACCGATCTTCACCAAATTTTGCATACTACCTTCAAAACTAAATTCGGTCGAATGTGCCAAATTCCATCCCGTTTGGACAAATATTAGACGTTTGGTGCACAATAAATGGTAAATCGGACGAAGATATATATGGGAGCTATATCCAAATCTGAACCGATCTCGATAAAATTTAGCAAAGGTATTTCTGAGCTGCATTTGATATATTTCCCCAAATATTGTTGTTACAGAGTGCATATTACGGCTGCGGAGGACAAAAATAACAAATCGTATGAACAATACATATGGGAGCTATAGCTATATCTGAACCGATTTCGATAAAATTTGGCATACTTATTTTCAGGCCTATTCCATACTATTCGGGCTGATATTACACGTTTGGTGTACAATAAAAGGCAAAACGGACGAAGATATATATGGGAGCTATATCTAAATTTTTACCGATTTTCTCCAATTTCAATAGGGTTCGTCCTTGGGCCAAACAAATGTTGTCTGCAAAATTTCATCTCAATCGGATAATAAATGCGACCTGCATTTTGTTCACAAGAATACATGGACAGACGGACTGACATGCATAAATCAACTCAGAAAGTGATTCTATGCAGATCATCAAAAGGAACTATGGGTCTATCTCGTTTCCTTTTGCCTGTTACAAACAAATGCACAAAGACATAATACCCTAACCACCTTGTGGTGTAGGGTATAAAAATTGCAAAATCTCCAAAACATCAATAATAACAAGTTGTAGCATGAAAATACGTTAACTTTATAAAAATCTCTTTAAAATGTTTTTTGCTTAATTATATTTTTTATACCCTCCACATACATAGTAGGGATTTTAGACCCAATAAAGTGGCAGAACTTGGTCTTTGCAGATCCACTTTTTCGTATAGTTCCCATATAATTGTACCTCTCCATATTCGGAATTTTAACGATGAATTCGACATTTAGAGTTCATATTAGATTCTATATCCTGCAGCAGAACACTGCCTAGGATCACGTTTGCCTATAGCTCCCATATAAAGATTCTTAACGATATTCGGTATTTGGACGACTTAATCCACATTTTGTAACTGAATTACATAAAACTCAATTTATGGATTCCGTAATGGGTTCTTCTGCTTTTTTTAACAATTTCTATATAAGTCAAAGTTTTCCTCCCGATATTTGATATTTTGATGACTGAACCCAATTTTTTACAGAATTGTTTGAATTTTGAGGAGGGTATAACTTAAGTATCCGAACTTAAGTGATTTTTTTACTTGTTTATATGTAAAATTGGATTAAATATCACAAAACGACCATTCTTTTAGCGAAAATGTTAACCAAAGAAATTTAAAATTTTGAATTTTGATTAAAAAAAGAAAATTCCATGAAAAACTATTCGAAATCAAATCGAGTAAATGCCTATGTTTAAAGCTTAAATGTGCTTCAATTTTGAAAATGTAGATTATTGGCCCAGTGAGAATACAACTTTAAAATTTAATCCGATTTCATGTATATTCTGTCCTAATCTGATATTCCGAATAAAATTGATAGTAACACACGGAGTCAAACTAAATTGCAAATTTGTCCCCTGGAGCCGCAAAATGCACTGGTTAAAATATAATAAAGATTTGGTCCAAAAAGGCACATGTCCTTTTGTCCATATATTTTTTAAGCAAGCTTGCAAGTGCCTGTTGCTTCATCAGCGAAATGTCCATATTAAAAGTTTAAATTCGATTCAACAGTTCATTTTAGCCTTTTCAGTACTCAAAATGCATAATTTTTTCAGTTTGACAATTTTTGTACCCTCAGCCATATGGCTAGAGAGGGTATATATCATTTGATACGGTCAAAATGTGCGTAGTCGAAATAACGGTTTTAGACCCAAAGTCTCTTTAGACCAAATCAATTTCAGAACATTTGAAGTCGATCTAGCGATGTCCGTCCGTCCGTCAGTCTATCTGACTGGCTGATGCGCACGATAACTCTCGAAGGGAGTATCCGATTTGGTCCAAACTTGGTACATCGTAATATTTTTGTCAAACATAGATTGAGTTCGGAGATGGGCAACATCGGACCACTCCTGCTGATACGTCCCCCACAAAAGATCCACATTTTCAAAAAATGTATTTTCTGCACAGAAAGATAACGATAGTCCGATTTCGCTCCAACTTTGCAAATCCTAATAAATATAATTATATAATCCTTATATCGGTCCACTCCATCAAGTACTTCTTCCACAAAGGGTCTAAATTTTGAAAAATTACAACTTCACAAAATGTGATGTAAGGTCCGATTGTCTTCAAATTTCACACATCCCAATAATATTATTAACCCAAGGTCTGGTGTTAAGATGGAATACATACACTCCTTCTGGTACCTCCCCCTTAAGGTTTCAACATTTTGAATATCCATGAAACTCATAAAAAGCGAAATTAACATCCGATTGTATTCCAGACTTGGTACATCTTAATATTTTCATCAACACAAGATAAAGATGGTATGGATCATTTACTTTGCTACCTGCCTCACATAGGGTTCAAGATTTTGAAAAACAAAACGCACAAATAAAGCGAAATAAACATCCAACTCTCCTCAAATTTCACACACACAAACATTTTTGCTAACGCAAGATCTCTTGTGAAGATGAACCCCTTCTGGTACCTCACCCACAAAGGATCACAATTTTCAATACTTGTATCAGTCATAACTTGCGAAACAAGTCAGCGATTCTTGCTATATCTAAATATTTCTCCCAAACAGAAACCTGAGATGCATGTGTAATTTATGATTTCGCAAAAAAATGGATATAAATGTTCGATTTTCTTGATATTACCCATATTGCCCATACCATTTTTTTCTATTGTCTGTATTAGATGAATCATGAAAATGGAATACTTCGGTCGACTATATCTGGTAACTCACGCACATTTTAACAGTTTCTAAAAATAATCACATATCTCATAAAAAGTGAAGGAATTACTCGATATAGACCAAACGGCACGTCGCAATGTTTATATCTTGTTTATTTAGCTCCGACAATATTGGTCCATTCCTTCGGAACCTACTTCATAGAGGGTCAACAATTTAAATAATCATAACAGAAGTCAAAATATATATTTTTAGTACAAGAGTCGTGCTAAATATTACCCGATACGTATCTTTTTTCGAAATTCAAAGATTTTAGAAAAAAATGCTCGAAAAAAATTTTTTTCGAAAAAAAATCTGAGAGAATTGCAGTATTCGAATTTCAAAAAATTAAAGTATGCAGAATTGTTCTCATTACTGTTCTCTCTTACTAAATTACTCTTCTCTCTTACTAAATTCGAAAAGAACGACAATTCCGAAAGTATGCCAGAATTGCAATTTTTGATATTCGAAAAACCAGCAGTTGTGCTAGGTTGTGCTAACTTGTGCCGTATATTTTTTCTCAATATCTTTTACCGTTTTCGAGAAATGACAATTTCGAAAAAACTGTATTTTTCAGAAAAATCACTGTAACTTTTGTAAATATTCAAACATTGAGATGTGAAAAAATTTAATGAGACGTGCCCACTTAACATAATTTTTCGCTCATTCCACAGCATATCAATATTTATGTTTTTAAAAAATTACAACGATTTTTCTGTTTTTTCGAAATTGTCATACCTAGTTAGAACTGTTAGTTTTTCGAAATTCGAAAACTGCAATTCTGGCATACTTTCGAAATTATTGTTTTTTCGAATTTGTAAGAGATATCGAAAAAATTTTAACGGTACAAATAGGCACAAACCGAGAATAATTTTGCAATTCTCCAAGTTTTTTTTTTTTTTAATCCTTTTTCGAATATTTTTCCGAATTAGGAAAAAAGCATTATATCGGGTGAAATTGGCCGTGACATTTGTATAAAAAATATCAAAATTCTCATCGTTAATTGACACGAAACACGATTTTTCTGGATTTCCGGCTCAAGTTAGGAATTTTGCAAGACTGTATCAGATCAAGACAAGATTTTCCGAATGCATAAAATACTTGAAACCACTACATCTCAACTTATTTTATTGTAGGGTATAAACATCAAAAAGCCTCTGCTGAACCAAAAAATTGGGCCTCACTTATTTTCAGATTTTTTTTTTTTTTTTCATAGCCACATATTCTTCCGTAATTTTGGAAAATATTAAAATTTTCCAAAGCAAATATATGGATATACTTTCAATTACCTTCGCTACAAAATTTTCTAATTATGGACCATTTTCCCCATTCTTCTTTCAGTGTGTGCTAATGTGACGTATGTGGGTCCGAAAAACGAACTAAATCTGGAAATGTTCGTCAATGAAACACAATCGGCCAAATATGCTGTATCCGCCCGTAATCCCTCACCGTTCTGTATACCGGTTATGTTAGGCATCCCCATGTCCATGTGTGTCCAGATGTCTGATGTCGGTTTGCAGGGTGATAATATGCATGCCTGTATGGATTTTATGGTACAATTGGCATCGACGCAAATTTTCGAAATGCATTTCCAGTGTATGCAATTGGGGGCACAGGGAGCTCAATGGGTGTTGCCAGGTGGTGGTGGATCGGTTATACCGCCATCACAGAGTAAGATAACCGATCGTAATGATGAAGATTATGGCACTTCGGATGAGTATTACGATGAAGAGGAAGAGAAGGAAGATAAGGTGGAAAAGGAAAATGTCATTAATGAAGAAAATGCTGAGAAAAATGAGTTGGAGGATAAAGAGAATGAAGAGGAGAATGAAAATAAGGCTGAGGAAGAAGTGGATTATAATGACCTCGCGCAAGAAAACGATAAAAAGTCTTCGAAAGAAAACGAAGTTGTAACAGATGAGGAGAAAAGGGAAGAGAACATAAAACTTACAAATGTGGGCATTGCTGCTATGTTAAGGCCAAAACCCAAAAGTGAGGAGGAAGAGGAGGAATCAGCCGAAACCGAAACTTTTGATATGTTGACAAAAAATGACAGCCAGATGTCCACGGAAAATACTCCCAATGAAAATTTGAGTGTCTCCAATATTGGCAATGACTCGAATGCCAAGTCAGAGGAAACGTTGGAGCAAACCACGGAGTTGGCCAACGATTTCCCCACCCCTATGGCCAATGTCACAATAGAAAACAAACTTGCTGACAATATCAATGACTCCGTAATGAGTATTACATCTTCCAGCTCCAGTGAAGCTCCAATAGTCATTTTACCAGAAACAACAACAACGACAGCTTCACCATTAACCGGACCATTGAACTCAACGTCTATTACAAAGACAGAGGAAAGTAACAGTGCCCATAATGAGAGTGATTATGATAATGAAGAAAGTGGAGAGGAGAAAGAGAAAGAGGATGATGAAATCGATGAAGATGAGGACGATGACGACGATGATGATGCTGACGAAGAAGAGGAAGATGAAGACGACGAAGAAGATGATGATGAATCGACTACGAGTGAAGTGAAAGAGCCCGAAAATGCCATAATCGAACAGAAATTGACAACCACAACAGATGACAACAATAAAAATATAATTGTTGCTACAACAACCAAACCAGATGAAGAAAAAAGTACGGATGAAGAAGAAAAGGGGGATGAAGAAGAGGATGATGATGATGAAGATGATGCTGATGATTATGAAGAAGAGTACGATGAAAGTGCAACGGATGCCCCAGCCAATGACAATAATCCAAAGAGTGGCCTTGATGCTGCGACATCAACATCGACAACACCAGCAACAAGTCATCAACAAATCATTGCCACAAACCAAACATTATCACTAACGACAAATGGCATTGTTGAGAAATCCGACAATGAAATGAATGCTGTAAATCTTCAATTATCCCCAGATGACATGCTTAATGCCAAAGATAACAAAAACAATGACAACGAAGAAAAAGACGACAACAACAACGACTCCAGCGAGAGCTTAACAAGCGTAAATCAAACGCTTGGCAGTCTGAACACCACAAATGCAATTGAGAATCACAGCCCGTCACCACAGCTCACAGAGGCGCTAACTGTCAGCAACAATGACAGCGTAACAACAACACCTCAAACACCTGCCCGTCAGCTACACCGAATGTATAGAGAGAAAAATATACCCGCACGATTCCGAGGTGGTCACAAATATCGCCCAAGTCAGCATTATCCCCATTATCATCAAGACAATGTGTAACACAATTGAAAGTGCGCGAAACTGGTGTCTATTCTCCAAGGGGGGAAGATTTATTTATTTGTTATTTTTTAACATAATTATATTTGTAAATAGTTTTTTTTCCAAACAGAGCATAAGTGACAAACAAACAAACACATTTACATTGTCATTAACACATTCGTGGGACTTAAAGTCAAACGTGAGAGGCTCTAACAGTACCATTAACACATTCGTGGGAGAGAGAGAGAGAGTGTTAGAGAGAAGTGATGGGAATATTTACATTTTTATTGGAAATTCATGTTTAATAATGAGTGGACCATACTTAAAGTAGCATCTATGGCAAAATTTATATAAGGTAATCTTATGCTAAAGGCTCAATTAGACATGCCATAACCATAACCGTTACCACATAAAACAGTTGTTCAAACCAAACTAAGGGGGTAAAATGTAATTGTTTTTTTTGTGACATACCATAACGCCATAGCCACAACTCCTAACGTAGTAACCATTTGAATTTTGATTTTCTGTCCATAGATACTTTTGAGGATCTTCATAGAATCAATTTCTGGGTCGATATATGTATGTCAGTCCGTCTGTCCATGTATTTTTGTGAACAAAATGCAGATCGCATTTATTATCCGATTGAGCTGAAATATTCCAAACAATATATATTTGGCTCAAGGACGAGCCCTTTAGAAATTGGTTGAAATTTAGATATAGCACCCATATATATCTTCAACCGATTCCGGGTTAATTGTGCACCAAATGGCCATTCTATCATCCCAGAAACAAGTTCTTAAAATTTGGTAAAAAATCGGTTTAGATATAGCTATAGCTCCCATAAAACTATTGCTTCAATAATATTTTTTAAAGTATAATTCTTATCGAAGTCATATCATGCCCTATACAGCAATGATATTTAGTACTAGAGGTAATCGATTCAGAGTTAGATATAGTTCCCAAATTGGTTCATAGTTGGTATTATCTACTTCGCATAAATTCCCAATATAAATCGACGTAACGGTTTTAGACACAGGGACTTTTTGGATCAAATCTGATTCAGGGCATTTGGGGTCGATCTAGGGTTGTCCCTCCGTCTGGCTGACTGGCTGGTGGCACGATAACACTCGAATGGTATATCCGACTTCATCCAAACTTGGTATGTCGTAATATTATTTTCAAACTTAGGTCGAGTTCAGACATGGGCATTATCGTCCATATCCACCCCTTCCAGTACCTATCCCACAAAAGGTCAGAATTTTCACAAAGAATAATTTACCTAATAGAAGGAGACAGAATCATATCAAATATCAATATATATGTCAGTGCTAGGTCAGGTGCGAAAATGGACAATATCGGCTCACTCCAACATGTAGCTCGCCCCACAAAGGGTCACAATTTTGAATAATTTCACTCTTATAAAGATTCTCCTCAATTTTCATATATCTCAATATTTTTACTACACTCCCACAAAGGGGTTAACCATGACGCTCATAAAAGCGAAATGAGCATCTGATTCTTATCAAACGTGGCAAATCGGATGAACAATATATATGGGAGCTATAGCTATATCTGAACCGATCTTCACCAAATTTGGCATACTACCTTCTAGACTCAATTCGGTCGTAAGTGCCAACACAAGATCAAGTATGGGGATTGGATATATCCGCTTACCCCTTCTGGTACATTCCCCACAAGGGTAAACATTTTATAGGAGTTATTTTCGGAATTTTGAAGGTTTCTGACACAATTTCCAACCAAATTAGATGAAACTTGATTGATTTGGAGTTCTCGGTAGGTCTGTTATCTCTCTGCAAAAAATGTTTGATTCAGGTCCACCAATTGGTATAGCCCCCATATAAAGGTACTTCCCGATTTTCGGTATTTTGAAGGTTTCTGCCACAATTTCCAACCAAATTAGCTGAAACTTTACATTTGGGGTTCTTGATAGGTCATTTCTCTCGTTGCGAAAAATTTTCGATTCCAGTTCAGGAAATGGTATAGACCTCATATAACGGTGCCTTCAGATTTTCGGTATTTTGACGATAGCGACATTACTCTCCGAAATTGTTTCAAATTTCGTATTTGACGTTTCTAATGTGTACTACAGTCCATGACAGAAAATTACATATTTAGGTTCAGTTCTTCGTATAGCCCCCATATATCTTCCCTATATTCGGTATTTTGATGATATTAGCGACATTATTCACCGGAATTATTTCAAATTTTGTATTTGAAATTCGGAATCGGTACTACATTAATTAATCTTGTTTTCGAGTTTTTACCAGATTTTTTAATTGATGTTTTAAAGGGTTTTGCCAAATCTTCCAACGAATTTGGTCTTGGTTTCGGGTTATCAATAGACGCCCCATTTTGGTATTATATTGTTAACACGCAGAATATATCTTTTTAAGATCTTCATAGAACCAGATGGTAAGGCGATTTCTAAATATATTTTTCTCATATACGAATCTTCTAGTTTTTCCAAGAATCGAATTTTTACACAGTTATCATACAAACTTTTCTCCGATATGTACACCGATATGGACTGGGAATTATCTCTTTGTGAATTTGTTTGTAACATAAAGAAGGAGAGATGAAATGGACCGATAGCTATATTTGGTGATCTCCATATAACACTTTGGAAAATTCTTACGATTATCTCTGCTAAATATGCATAGGGACTGGGGGAGGCGACTATAGTCGTAGTATATATACGGTTTCGCGTTTAATATTCGGAACAAAGATTTGGAAATTGCAAATCGGTTAAGTAAAAAAAACGAACATCATACGATTAGCCAATAGTAAAACAGAAATAACGGCGAATGTGTGTACCCACATATTTTTTACGAGTTCAAATATAAATTCCAACTCTAAATATTAATGAGCATTTCAATTTTTTAAATTACGATACATTTCTAATCACTTAACGCATTGAGCTTTCTTCATGCTTTCTATCCCAAACTCCCCACCGTTTGTGTTAAATGACATTTTAAAAATAATTGACAATATTTGTGTGTAACCATTAAAATGCACACGAATGCTCGTACATACATATGTATGTATGTATGGATGGATAGTTTACAATACTGACCGACCAACTAATTGTTTTCATTTTCTTGTTTAATTTTTGTTATTTATGAGCTGTTATCGTTATTATGTTATTATTAACATTTACTTTGTTATTTATTTATATAGCTGTAGGATATTTTCATAATGTAATATATTATTGTTAACTATAATTAATTGTAGATATTAAATAAAAAATAAAATATTTAAATATTAACATTTGTGTTTTTTTTTTTTTTTTTTTTTTTTGAAGGGTATTGTGATGTTTCCTCTCAGTGTTTGTTTAACTGGAATAGATAGCTGGGTTCATTATACCCTGCAACACTATGTATGTGTTGGGGGTATTATAAGTTTGGCCAAAAATTATTTAACAATAATGGTTTGCACATAGGAAACTATATATGGATCTTCCCATCTCGCCGAGCTGGGTCGATTTAGCTATGTATGTCCGTCCATGTTAATTCCGATCCGATCCTCACCAAATTGATAATGGAGGTAGCGTTAGGTTCAGAATAGAAGCCTATTGTTTTTGGAACTGATCGCAAAATATTTAGAGGTTGAAATGGACCAAAAACAGAAAAAATCTGGATTGTGATTTTGTTGCTCTACAGATGGAATTTTGCATGGATTTAGGGTTTAGGGCTGGACAGAAGACAACAAATTCGGATGGTCATCGAAAAATAGGTAAAAAATAAACGAAAATCTCCACTAAACCGTGAATATTTTTAATCCCGACGAAATCACAAATACATTAGAAGGTCACTTCTGACCATTACAGTGATGCTGATAGCAAAGATATTGAATATTTGGCGAAATAGGTACAACTGATGTTAGTTATTCCGCTTATAAGTCAGGAACCGCTTGACGGGTTTTTTTAACAGAAGAGTGAAGAAAATCGCAAAAAAAATATTTTTTTTTTCAATTTTTTCATATTTTTATCGCATTCGATGTTTATACCCTACACCACAAGGTGGTCAGGGTGTTATGTCTTTGTGCTTTTGTTGGTAAAAAGGACACGAGATAGACCCATAGTTACTTTTGATGATCTGCATAGAATCAAATTGTGAGTCGATGTATGCATGTCCGTCCGTCTGACCGTCTGACTCGTGAACAAACTGCAGGTCGCATTTATTATCCGATTGAGAACAATATTTGTTTGAACCAAGGACGAACCCTATCGAAACTGGTGATAATAGGATCATATTTAGATATTGCTTCCATATATCATTAACCGATTTCGGTTAATGATATATCTAATGTAAATCCAAATGACCTGTCTTTTTGCATATCCGACTAAATTCAGTCTAGAAGCAAGTACATCAAATTTGGAGAAAATCGGTTAAGATATAGCTATAGCTCCCATATATATGTTTCATCCGATTTAGCCTTAAAGTCCATCACATGCGTAATATGCACTCCACACTCCAAGTATATTTGATACCGGACATCAGGTACAGCTCGAAAATACCTCTGCCAAATATTATCGAGATCGGTTCAGATTGTTATATAACTTCGATATATATTTTCATCCGACTTTATGGTCATTGCTCATCTTATATGTAATGTCAGACTAAATTGAATAGATTTCTATACCCTCCACCTTGGAAAGGAGGGTATATTAACTTTGTCATTCCGTTTGTAACATCCTTAAATATTCATCGTAGACCCCATAAAGTATATATATTCATAATCAGCATAAAATTCTAAATCGGTCCACGTTTTGGTATAGTCCCCATATAACGGTACCTCCCGATATTCGGTATTTTAATGATTTATGCCACATTTTTTCACGGATTTATCTGAAAATTGGTATTTGTAGGTCATAATGGGTTCCAGCTCCGGTGGCAAAACATTGCATGTATAGGTCCACGTTTTGATATAGTCCCCATATAACGGTACCTCCCGATATTCGGTATTTTGATGATTTTTGCCACATTTTTTCACGGAATTGTCTGAAAATTGGTATTTGTAGGTCATAATGGGTTCTAGCTCC